AGTGAGATTATTTACTTCTTACACTTTCCCAAGGTGTAAAGCCAACTGATAATATTTGTATGCAGGACTTAAAATCCGTTTTGATTAAGACTAATGTAACTTTTCTAAAGGGAAATTGTGAAATCAGTGTAAATATTGCCATCTTCTGGTGCTTATCTGTAACTGTCGTGGCTGGCACGCGATCAGCTTCTTACATCCGGCGCAGATAAAGTAAAAACTAAAGGAATGATCAGTCTCGTCATTTCCAGCCGGGTCTAATGCCCCAACAAACAACCTTTATAAATACGTATTTTTCTCAACATTACGATTAGCCAAATTCGGGGAATTACATAACAATAAATACAAGTGGTTAAAGTTCAAGTAACGGTACAACGTCCTCACTGTGCGACACGACGTCGCCGGTAGTGACGTAGATGTCTCATCCTCCTTGTTTTTTTTAGACAGGCTGCAGCGCGGGAAAACAAGACGAAGAGTAGATGTGAGGGTAAAAGAGTTTGGAAATACAAATTATCTTGCCAACCTGACAGCTATGGATGCCTCGGAGGTAGAGTTCCTCGCCGAGAAGGAGACGGTGAAGATTATTCCAAATTTCAGTTTAGACAAGATCTATTTGATCGGGGTAAGTAAGTGAATAACTTTGTCAATGCGTTGTTTACAAGGTTACAATGGACTGTTTTCTCTTGGGTTAGGGGTTAATTTAAAGAGTTTGAGTTTAGCCGGATACTGATAACTTGCATACCGTTAGTTACATGAACTCAATAGTTAAGGTTAGCATGTGTCAAACCTCTCAACTGTAATCTATGTATGGCAACTGGCAAGCCGATTTAGCTTTTATTCATTTCTGGAGGATCAAATCATTTTTTTGATATCAGGAATTCAATTTGTTACTAGTTATAATTAATGTATTACTAGTTACAATTGAATTCCTGACATCAAAAAAGCATTTTGATTTTGAAGTTGAAATTGTATTTCTGATATAAACATTTGGCATTTAGACTAGTTGAAATGGAATTCTTGATATCAGAAATTGTTATTGTTACTAGTTCAATTGTAACTAGTAACAATTGAATTAATGATATCATAAATTGGCTCCCTAACTCCCATTGAAATGAATGAGAAAAACGATGCAAATCTCACTAGTTAAAATCGCATTTCTGATATCAGAAATACACATTACAACAAGTTACAATTTAATTTCTGATATCGGGAATTTGCATTCGAACTAGTTAAAATTCAATTGTTGGTATCAGAAATAAACATTATTCCTAGTAAGAATAGTTTTTTGATATCCTCCAGAAATGAATAAAAGCGAAATCGGCATGCCATATCTATGCAACGCTACTGTTTATATGGTCAAACGAATGGGAGTCAGTTTTCCTTCCTGTGTGTATCCTCAGGGCGACCTGGGTCCCTTCAACCCCGGACTGCCTGTCGATGTTCCCGTCTGGCTGGCCCTAAACTTGAAACAAAGACAGAAATGTAGAATTGTTCCTCCTGCGTGGATGGATGTTGGTAAGATAATGCATACCCATCTTCAATATATACAAGCTGCAGGAATAACTGACCACTTTAAAATGGAAACAATGGAAAGGGGACTTAAATTCTGGGATCAAATGTACATAATGCACCAATTTGTCACAACTAATTACTTATAGTGTTACTTATCATAGGTTGGTGTGTTCTATAATTGTATTTTGGAAAGAATGGAAAAAAAATCAGGCTTTAGCTGTAAAGCAGGGGTATTCAACTCAAATTCAACGAGGTCCAGTTAGAGAAAATGTCCCCATGCAAAGGTCCGGAACATCAAAATGTCTAACTTGCTTTATGAATTAGTGTGATATATATTGAAGTAGCCTGTAGCTTTATCAACGTCTGCATGTAATCAACAACTGACTGCCAATAAAATAAAGAAAGTACAATTCATAAACAACAATATTTATTGTCAATTAACATTGAACTATACAGATATACAGTAAATACTGTGGATATGTGTAATGTTCCTCTCGGGCTGCATTTAAAAATAAAATATAGAAAATAAATCAAAAAGCTTTTGAAAATATGTGCATCTCAAAAGTGCTTAATTTTAGATAAATAAAATAAAGTGTAGCAGCAGCTTGAGTTTCCCTTTTTCTTTGTTAACCGTTTCACATCATGACTTAACAGTTTCAGACGATTATAGAACAATATCAGACTTTACACATCATAGCAATTGAACAGTTTTAAAGATTCTCTTTCTTTCCCTCTTATATTGCAGTCCCTCACTCACTTTTTTTAAATTCAGTGCGAGAATTGAGCTGGAGCTTGTCCTTCCAGAGTTTGTAAATCTGGGCTGAAATGGTGTCAGGGCCATTCTCATACACATGCAGGTTAGCCTCGGTTAGCCTGCCCTGGAACGATATTTAGTTTTAATTTTGATCCTGGTGGACTGATCATATTGGGCTCTGAGACTGCTTATTTTTTGTTAACTCAGTTCTGAATTGAGAGGGAATGTTTGGTCAAACACTTTGTGTTTTGTCTCATAGTGGCGTTTTGGCACTTTTAATGAGCGCCACGGTCTCTGAACAGATGAGACACACTGGTTCTGTGCTCCCAGTGGGCAGGATGAACATGAATGAGTCCGTCCACTCGGGGTTACAAGCTCTGTTCACTTTCCTCTTCTTGGAGAGCGCCATGTGTAATTATTTGTCTCTCCCTGTCTGCCGCTAACACGCCTGTTCACTCTCCTCTCCGTCTTCTCTCCCTGTATCGCTAATTATTCTCTTCACTCACTTTCCTCTCTGCTTCTCTCTGCCGCGCTCTCATCTCTTCTTCTGTGTTTCTCTCCCTGTATCGCTCACTCGTCTCTTTCGCCCCCTGTCGGCGGCGGTTAAAATAGAATCGCCCCGTCAAAATTGAAATCCCCTATTAATGTATTGATTATAGGTTGGTGTCCGGATCCGGACCGCGGTCCGCCTGTTGCCGACCCCTGCTGTAAAGGATAAACTAGTTTTTAAACGATGAATTAATTAACTCAAGAAAAGTAAACTATACATTTCAGTTCTCCTAACCTTTCCTATATGATTCAGTTGCTGGAAACACTGGAAATAGGACGGCACTTCTTCATATTTTGACATTTATACTGATTTCTTCCATCTGACAGTTCGGCACATAGGCCTACAATGATTGTTTTTGACTTTCCTGATATTAATAATAATAATAATAATGCATTACATTTTTAATTAGAGCGCTTTTACAGGTGCTCAAAGCGCTTTACAATTACATGAATATTGTGCAGATAAACTGGAGGAGATGCGAGATCTTGAGAGGAAAGAGGACACCTTTACGCCTGTTCCCAGTCCGTACTACATGGAGCTGACCAAACTGCTTCTGAACTTGTGAGTCTTTTTATGTGAATAATCCCCATTCTTATGGTATTCAAACTAACATGCTTTACATGCTCCCTTATTGTCTGTGTGCACTCTATACCTTACATGAAGGGTTATGTGTCTCTGCAGTGCGTCTGACAACATCCCTAAAGCGGATGAGATCCGCACGCTGGTCAAAGACATCTGGGACACTCGTATTGCCAAACTCCGCCTCTCCGCCGACAGCTTCATCAGTCAGCTGGAGGCGCATGCCAAGGTACATCATGAAGAATCCCACGCTGAGCCTTCCGTTTACACAAACTGTTAATATGATATTGTAGAGCTGAAACAAAATATCAAACAATTGATAAAAACATTTGGACGGAAAGTTCTTTATATTATGAGTAATTAACACAAATAAACATGAAATTGTAACATGGCTACGCATTTACAATCTCATTTGAATGGCCACTGTAGGATGTGTTGAATTCAAGAATATTGTGAGCAGTGGAATTATGTTTCTGCTCTAAAGGGCATCTTTAAGTGGTGAAAATCTGTGAACATTGGAGTGCTGTAATTGTTTCTTAATAACAGAATTAACAGTCAGTGTCTTGAGATGATCTTTTTATCCCCTCATCTTGTGGCCCTACTGCTTCCCTTTTCCCTGTCATAGTAAGATCCAGCAAATACGAGCTTAAGTATTCACAGCAGTTATTAAAGAAAGAATATTATTTACGCTTGTTAAAAGCATGTGTCCTTTGTAACTCTGGCCCCTCCCCTCTACAGCTGGACAACCTGACCCTGATGGAGATCAACACCATACGCGTCTTCCTGCTCGACTCTCTCAACTGCTTGTACAAGCTTCGCTCCAATCAGCACCCTGGGTCCAGTAAGGGACAGTTCGCTGACTTTTAAACTCAGAATTCAAAGCCTGCTGCACAGGTTCCCATCTTGTCCCATGATCTCAAGTCTTCAACTACAGATTGTTCTTTCTCACCCGGCCCTTCATTACGCTAAAGACTCTTTTTCTCAGAAATGTAATTCAAAGATATCTACCAATGACCTCTTGATGGCAACTGAATTTGACTTGCTTTTACTTTGGTTTTGTCAATGGGTTATATTTGTTGTGTGAGACATGCATTACTCTGTACAAATGAAAAGCATCTAGGCTTTATATGTATCTTCTGTTTGAATTATGTGCATATGTAATTTAATTAAGGATGCTCGCTGTAGTTTAAAACTGCCACTATTGTTGTATATGTCAGTTAATATCAAAATAAATGTATTTGTGTAGAGTTCAAGGTATAGAATTGTATTCCTGGACTAAAACAGATATTTGAAGAAGTCAGTCTCCAGAAATGTTTCACTTTTTTGGTCATGTTGTATAGAAATTAAATGAACGTTACTAGATGCTCTTGTTTGTCAGAGAAGAAACATACATTTAAGAACAAAATAAATGGCTACTTAGTAGTGTAGGATTTAAGTTAAACATAAAGGGAATTTGTCCTTTACCCTAAGTGAAGTGCAACAAAAGAATCATTTCTAAAATTGTTTTGTGGGATGGAAGGAAGCCCATAAATTCAACACTGTTTCATTCCAAAACCATTGTCAACGTTTTCAATATGTGTAGCACCCACAAATGGACAAGGGTTGATATTTAACATTTTGGAAATATTTTATTTCTTTTTTGTCTGAAATCACAGCCATATATTCATAAATACCTAATTACTACATTCAACAAAGAATATATTACATTACAATGAATTCAAACAAGTACATTTTAAAAACAGGATTTCACAGCATCTAGACATCCTCCACTGAGTAATGGGGCTATTGCATGGGCGTGCGTGGGCTGGAGACGGGGTGGGGGTCGTTGGCAGCTCTCCTCAGCGTGCCTCTTCTGCTCTGTAAAAATGACAGACTACATTCTGTATCAACCTGATCCCCTCGAATGGCATGGGCCTCATTTATAAAAGGTGTCATGATTGGATTCTCGGAGATGCGTTAAGATTCTGTGTTTGTTCTTGGCATGCACATTTGAAAGGTGTGAGACGTACAGTTGACACTTCAATGTAAAGTCCCTGATCTCTGGTGTTATGTGTAGAATTAACATCATGTGGACTGCAACTCATTCACATGCTCCCAACTTCTTGAGGCACTTGTATTTAATATGCTGTATGTAGGGGTGGCTGTGCTTTTGTCTTTATAAATGAGTTATTTTGCACATTTGAAAAAGCGAATCAAGATTTACTTTGAAGTATTGAATGCCCCCATTCTGACACCAACTTTCCCACCACAATAGCTTGTGCAGCCTTTTAAATCAAAACAATGATCAATGCCCCTGTTAATTGGGGAGGAAGTCAGAAAACCGTTTGGCTGAATCCGGGGATGAACTGTGGGCAGGTTGAACATGGGGACAAGTTTTATTCTAGTGTGATTTCAAGGCTTTTTTCAAAATGTGTTGGCAACTGCAGAGGAAGATGGCCATTCTGTTTTGAACGTTTGGCTACCTTATTGCAACTCAAATACAAATTAACAATCCAAAATGATTCAGTTTATTTAATGTTGGCACCATGTCCTCTCATGGCTGCTGATAAGGGCTTGTAAGGCAAAACATTATGCAAACCGTGATATTGTTGGAGTCTAATGCAATATAATGTCAGAGTGGAGTGAAAGGTCCAACGGTAGGATAAAGCAATAATAACCAGTTTCATCAGCTGGCTGCTTAAGAGACTCTTCATGTCTTTACAAAATCAAGTATGTCAAGTGACCAAAGTAAAAAAAGAAAAGTGTCGCTGTGGGTTTCATCTGGTTTCAGTATGAGAACATCATTAGCTAACTAGTCCTGCCAGCAGCAGTGACGCTGAGCAGAGGAGTGGATGCTGGGTGTTAAAACAGAATGACATGTTGCTGTGAAGGGAGGGGTGAGAAGGTGGGTGCCATTTCTCAGGACCTCAGTGAGCTCGGATGCTGTGGTTGGGTGAGGAGAGAGTGAGAGGAGGAATATATCCTGTTCTCTCTCACTGTTAAATGTCTCAAAATGAGCTGTTCTGGCCAGCAGCAGTACAAACACTAAAAGCAAGGCTTTCTTTTCCAACCCAAAAAAGCATAAACATATAAAAATGGCAGGCTTTTTTTCTTTAAAAGAACAATGATTAAAGTAATAAAAACATACAAAATTCTTTTAAGTCTTCATATTATATACAATACAAGGCTGAAGCACCTTTTAGAATTCTTATTCTCAAATTTTCTATTTCGAAATAAAACATTTCCTTAATTCTTTCCAAAAAATGTGCATTCTCTAAGTTCTTCCCTAATTCCAACAGTTCTTTGTTGTAACACAGTACCACCAGGTAGTTCTTCAGCTTTTATTCTTAAGTGCATTTCCAGTTCAAAAGCTCATGTGGCCACTGTGATAAGATCAGTCCCGACTGGCCAGAAGCCTTCGAAGCGTTCGAGTCTCTGGACGACACCCCCCCCTGGGGCCGCGGCCCCTCATTGGCAGGATTGTCTGTGTAGCTGTGGCGGGAGGGATGCAGGGACTGAACAATAGAGCAGCAGGGGGCTGAAGAGTGACAAGCAGGTGCATTATGGGTGATCTTCAGGTGCTCCTGGCCCATGCTCTCTGGGTTGGCTACATTGGCACACGGTAGTGGCACAGTCCCTGGCCACCGTCCAAAGACTGTCCTTCACTGTCCTGTCTGCTGTGCATTCATCCACCACTCATCCATTCACTCAATTCATTCATTCATTCATCTTATCCAGCCAGTCTTATTCTCCTCCTTGGAACCATGTGGATCAGGCCATGAAAAATAAACTCTGGGTATCAGTCTGAAGGGGGATGGCGGGGGGCCATCAGGGCGGCGGGTCGGGGTCACCTGGGAGGGTAGCCCTTGTAATGGCCGCCTCTCGGCCAGTGTGTCTGTGGCAGCGTCAAACACTTCCTGAAGTGCTCCAGCTCGGCTTGGAGCTTCTCCCTTTCCACTGCCAGCTTCTGCCTCTGGGACATCAGCTCCTACAAGACGGAAGATGTAAATATATATTTAAGTTTAAAGAATAATCACAACAAAGAGGATGTGTGTTCAGCTCCATGCTAATAATACAAAGGTGGTCAAAATAAAGGAGGAATCACAATGTGAGAATACTGTGCTGTCAATTATTATCATAGAGGTAAATCTAATTCATACTCAAAGAAGTATGTGTGGAGAAGGGAACTGTTAAGACGTGTTGATGAGTTTGGGCTTATAGATGTAGCAATGTGTGCTACTAGGCACTCTAGTGTTCTGTGCATGTTTCTTACCCCCATGTTATGAGATAGCTGCTCAGCGGTCAGGCTGAGGTTGTAGTTCTGAGCTTCTAGTCTTCGACACTGGCTCTGCAACACGTGTCGCTCCAAACCTTGCTCTAGAGAACCAGAGAGAGTGAGAGACAGAGCGTTAGGGGAAGAACCTGATATTTACAAACAACTGAATTCTAGAGGAAGCATGAACACTGCCCTCTAGTGACAAATGAAGACAATTGTTTAAAAAAACTATTTTCTAGGAATACAGTATATGGTAACACTAAACTATGAAACAGCCAATGAGATATGAATGGCTTTTTCCGAGGGAGGGGTTATGTATCAGTCATATAATAGAAAATACATTAAATCAACAGTTTTAAGCAGTACAGTATATCACAGCATGTTTTAACTGCAGCTGCTTACCTTCAACATATTCCTGATAAGCTTCAAATATGGACTCAATCCCCTGCCACTTGGAAGCGGGAGCCTCCTCTTCCTCCTCCTCCTGGTCCTCCTCAGAGTCCTCTGGACCCGACAGGTCCTCCCTCGCCCCCGAGGCCTCCCGGTGGAGGCCTGCAGAGAAGTGCTGCCCGTTGGGCTGAGGGTGAGCGTGTGAGAGCGGGTGGGGAAATGGATGTGCGTTGGACTGAGATTGTGAATGCTGCGGTGGCCGTCCAGGAGCGCTCTGAAGCTCCGGAATGTTGTAGTGGACCGAGGACTCCTGCAGGTGGGACGACTCCGACATCCCCGCGGCTCCACCTGAAGCACAAGATGGGAGAGAAGGGAGATCGTGTCATATTTGATCACTTTGTATTTATTGCAATAATGGTAACATGACTCATCTAGGGATTTCAATTTGGAGCAAAATGCCGCAGCAAGGCTTTTAACTGGCACACGGAAATGTGACCACATTTCCCCCATTTTGGCTTCGCTCCACTGGCTGCCAATACATTTTACGATTCATCTCAAAATCCTTTTATTTACTTTTAAATCCCTAAATGGCATGACCCCACCATATCTTTCTGAGCTGCTACACCCTTACACACCCACCCGCCCTCTAAGGTCAGCTGATCAACTGCTCCTGAACGTGCCCAGAGGGGGGCCGTTGCTTCTCTGTAGAAGACACACTGTGGAACGATCTGCCCATGCACATCAGACAGGCCTCCACACTGCCTGCTTTTAAATCACTTCTTAAACCCACCTCTTCTTCTTAGCGTACTAACATCTTTTAGAGCGTTGCTTTTAAATTGTCTATTGTTTCTACTTGTACTTGTTTTACAGTGTGTGAGCTGTGTAATTGTTTTGTATGTTTTGTTTTGTTTATTTGACTGTACAGCACTTTGGTCTGGAGGTTTAAAGTGCTCTATAAATAAAGCTGTATTGTATTGGATCATAATTTTTCCGTGCATATGATTTCTATGAATTCATATATTAAGTTTGGAATGCCGGAAGAATTACTTAACCAAAGTGACAAATTGCTAATCCAAACCCAAAATATCAGTTTACTATCACAGAAGCCCATAAAACACGTCAATAAACCAATCATTTCAGCTAAAGATAATACGATTGTCACAGCAGCATGTTAACAAGGCATTGCACATAATGTGAGAGGGAAAAGTTATATACAAATTAATTTCTCATGCAAAAATATACTTGTTAAATGTGTCTATTTGCCGCTTTGTATGTCAGCGCTGTTGGTTGAATAATGCATCATTGAAAGATATCACCACATGGGTTCTGGGAATTTGTAATGGCCATTTTTCAAAGATAGATTTCCAGACAATTACTTACTAAATTATTAATTGACCGAATAAAAGCTTTGTGGCAGACCTGTAACATCCTGTATCTCAGTGTTATTAATGGAAAGTTGTTTGTCTTGTCACCACACTGTCCTGTTGCCCATTGGCCCCCCCGCAGAGAGACCCCTCCCATTGGCCCGTGCTGCTTACCTTTATGTTTCTGCAGAGCCTTCTGAGTGGACTGAAGCACAGACTCGTGGAACTGCTGGGCAAATTCCTCCGGGGTAAAGCTGTCCCAGGGTTTGGTGCGCCCGTTGACGCTGTGAGGACCCTCTTTAGCCTGCAGGGGAAGGGGGGGGCGCAAGCTGTTCAGCAGGCTGGAGCTCCTCTTAGAGACCGGCCCCTCACCGGGCCCCCGGGCCTTGTCAGGGTAGACAGCTGGAGAAGGGGGTTCCTTTGGTCTTAATGTCTCCCCAAGGGGTTTTGGGTGACCATTGGGGGACGCTGGGCGATATGAGGAGGGGCTCTGCGGTCTGACACTGTGTTGGCCTTCTGATTCAGAGGGAGGCTGGGCGAATGCAGAATCTGCAATCATTTGAACATGTGTTAGTCATGATGAGGTCAAGATCCACATTACTACAGATGGAGCACTGCAATTAGCAACACATCTCACCAGAAATCTGGGGTGGAGGGCTCTCACACAGCAGATGAGGGGCATGTCTAATGGTATCCAAGGTTACGCTCTTTTCTTTAATGACCTGAAGGAGCTCCACCACCCTTTCATTATGTATGAGACAGAGGAACTAGTTCATAAGTCATGTCTGTATATATATTACACAAAGACCCATTTCTCCTAACGTGTGTGTGTGTGTGTATTACATGAGGCTGAATGTGGCCTAACAGCATGGGAGGCAGTGCGCTGCCATCTGAAGGCTGCAAACTGTACATCAAAAGGATTACACTAAGATCACTGTAAGCCCACTGCTGCCACTGTGTGTGTGTGTGTGTGTGTGTGTGTGTGTGTGTATGTGTGTTTAACTGCAATTGTCTCCCAACAGAGCCTTGAAACAAGTCCACCTTTTCTAACTAGTGCAATGTAAAGCCTTACATTATGCTTCAAAATATGCAGCAGGTAACACAGGGGTTGGAGGGAGACATGATCATTGTTTGACCCCTATTATTTCCTTCAAGGCTCGAGTCAACATGCAGTATTCATGAGAACGCAGCGCATGTAAAGCAGGCAGAGCTCAGCTGAAGTGAAGCGCCAGCAAGCTGTCGAGCCGACTGAGAGTAAAGACTACTTTTGAAAAACTAAATGAACATTAACTCAGCTGAAATGAGATGTCAAAGAGGAGAGACACGATATCAGCAATGGACGGGGATGTGTGTATAGCATGTAGGGGACAATGGGTCACTTCTGTAAAGTAATGCAGTGGTTTCTAACTACCTCTCCTGTCCCTTGCAATTTGAAGTCCTTTCATTTCATTTGAAATTCTAGCATTGAATCCAGTGCGTGAGTTTCCTGGGCACACACATTCTTAACTTAAACAATACCGGAGCAGCAGTTTATTTAATTAAGAATAGCTAGGAGGCATCTTTACGCACAGTTAAGGCTTTCACTAATTAACGTAGTTCTTGAAACATAATTAAACAAAACAGTTAGTAAGCAACACTAAAGACCCATATTAAGAGTAACTGTTTAACAGAATCACCCATTGTATTCACCCAGGTTTATTAGAGCAGCTTCAAACTTGACAAAATAAATAAAAAAGTGTGAAATGGAATATTTCTGTGTATTATAACTCCCTCACCTCTCCTCTGCTGTACAGTGACGTGGGACAGACTGAACGTGGTGAGGAATCGCTTCTTATCCTCCAGCTCTGGTGCTCGGTTCATGTCCTCCGGGGTGAAGCGTGTGCTGAGTTGGGGCGCCGGCGGAGGAGTGCGTTTCGGTTGCGAGCAAGATGGTGAGGGGCTGCGCTCCCTGAGCCTCCTCCTCCTTTTTCTCCTCTTCTGCTGCACCAGCTCATCGCGCCGGCCCACTGTGGTCAGGCCAAACACTCCCAGGAAGTCTAGTTTCTGCGCGGAGAGGCAAAAGAACATCTTAATGCATTGTTTTGTCATGAGTGCTTGTAATTACAACAGGAATTGATTATTTGGCAGGTGTTTTACCTCTGAGGAGTCCTCCAGTTTGAGTGGCGGCTGCTCTGCTACTCTCCTAAGATGGGCTCTCACCTCCTCTTCATCACTCTCGTCATACGAGTCATCCAGCTCGTAGTAGTAACCTGCAACAAGCAACGAGTTCAGTACTGACAAACCACTTGCTCTAATAAAGCGTTACATAAAACAAAATGTAGCTTTCTAAGAGTGCAAATTATCAGGTGTAGTGCAACAGCATGGGGGTACCTTTTTCCCTGGCCTCCTTTCTCCTCTTCTCCTCCATGTCTAACTTGCTGACAGGCCTCCGGTGCTGCTGGAGGTATTCGTCATAGATCAGCATTGTCTCTGGGCCCGTCCCCACATTGGCTACCTGTCCCATGCCTGTCCCGGGGGGGATTCCTAGCCCTTGTCCATGTCTGCTGTGCCCCGGGTGTCCCTGGAGGCTCTTCAGTCCAGCATTGCTCTTCATACCTCCCTCCATTTCATATTGGCTGGGCAGGGACAGGGTTGCCCTCTGCTGGCTAAAAAAGGACTGGGTGGATTTCTCCAGATCAGCAAGGAATGTGCTGGGTTCCGGCAGGCCCGGAGGACCTCTCAGTGGGGGGTACTTCTCCATCACTCCCCCTTCTCTCCTTCGCGCTCCGTCCTCATATTTTGCGTGCCCGGGGGGAAGCCGACTGAGCTCGTAGTGTCCCATCCCTGAGGGCTCGTGGTTCCGTCTGGACTCTGAGGCGGTGTCTATAAGAGAGGCAGGGTTCCACAGGGTGGTGGGAGGGTGGTGTTCACGTGGTGGCTGGGGAGGTTTGGGGGAGATGAGGGGTGGAGGGGCGCCTAAGTGAGGGTGGAGGTCCCGGCTTCCTGGTTCATGGTGATTTGGTATGGATCTGTAGACATACAAAATAATCATGTAATCTGTTAAAAGTACTGCACAATGCCCGTATTCCAAACACATATGCAATGCAGAGACACACCATGTCTATTCCCCTTCATCCCTGTCAGTATGTCTGAGGGGTCGTGTGCCTGTGCAAGGCAAAGTTATCAAGCTCAGACAGAGTAGCCCAGAGCAGAGAGAGGATGTGGCCAAGGCACACAATGTCCTCTGGATAGGCAGGCTTCTTCACACACACACACACACACACACACACACACACACACACACACACACACACACACACACACACACCACACACACCACACACACACACTACACACCACACACACACAACACACACACACACACACACACCAACACCAACACACACAGCACACACACACACACAAACACACACACACACACACACACACACAACACACACACACACACACACACACACACACACACACCACACACAACACACACAACACACACACACACCACACACACACCACACACACACACCACACAACATCACACACACACACACACACACACACACACACACACACACACACACACACACACACAACCCACACACACACAACACACACACACACACACACACACCACAGTTTCAGAGGGCCAACTGCTAAGGAAGAGGCCAGGATAATTCTCCTGATAGAGCGGGCAGGCAGAGGAGAGAATAATCAATGTGGAGAGTAGAGAGAACCATGGGTTTGTAAAAAAGGAATAGTCAATGATACATGGAGAAATATATATGTATATATTAAGGGAGATACTTGGGAAGAGATACTTGAAAAGGAATAATGTTATGGATGGTGGAGAAGAAATGGTCACTGCGAGAAAGAAAGGAAAGCAGATGGATGTCTCGAGTGTCTTTCCAAATCAAGCCTGGCAGGAACGCACTGTGCAGAACGCACTGTGCAGGACCAGCAAATGATCTATGCCTCCCTGTTTGTGTTTGCGTTTGTGTGTGAGTGAGCAAATGTGTGTGTTATCTTCAATCTGCAGCCTGTGAGCTGTGATTCAGCAATTATCCAGCAGGGTTACTGATACTGGACGTGTGTATCTCTCCTGTCCTACCAGTACAGCATTAGCCTCACTTCTAGATCGCACACAGCAACCCAAACACAGGCAAAGTAACAAAGGAGGGTAAGCTGGGGGCTTATGCTGTGCAAGGTTGAGAGGATTAGCCGAGAATTAGCCTTTGTGTATCTTAGCCGTCCCACTCGCTGCCTGTTTCAAACCGCTGCCCATTTTACATGAAACAGCATCAGGACATCATCTCTGTCATCATCAGGACCCCACTTTACTCCCTACATCAACACCTAAACATAGATGCCTGTTTGCCGTCAGACCTGGAAGGCAGCATGGACAGAAATAAATCAGACATGATGTTTCCAACGGGGTCTATTTGTTTTCAGTCCTGCCTGATAACAAACTTCTAAAGCCTGCCAGCTTCTGAGGCTTCAGAACGCCGACACAACTGTCCCTTTAAAGCTAGCCCAGACAGACAGCTAAACATCCCCAAAATAGTGTTGGCAATGAACGCATGCATGAGTTTCTGGTGTCACAGAGAACCCAGAACTACTTTTCTCCATCAGATAACGAGGGAAAAACAAGTTTGTAATCGCCAAGTGTTGTAGTGTTGTGTAAATAACTACTGCTAGGCCTGAAAACTGTAAGAGGGTTTAAACGCTGTGATTGTTGTCTCACCTGTGTGAGTCTGTCCTGTGGTCTAGTACATCTCCGGGCCGTCCTATGTCCAGGTGCTGCTCCAGAACCTGCTGGCGGAATTCAGACACCTGGTACTGACGGTCCTCCTTCTCCTGCCGCAGCTTACGTTGCCGTGCCAGCCACCTCTCCTCCTCATTGGCTCTCTGAGCTAACATTGAGGCTGAGAGCGCAGTCCCCACAGCGCCGGCCCCCAGGAAGAGGCCGTGGCCTGGGATCAGACCTGGGATGGGATGATGTGATTGGACCATTGAAGGGTGGAGTCCTGGTGGGACAGGTTTGGGACCTGGAGGGGCGGGCTCTTTGGTTTTATCTGTGGTAGTTGGAAAGGACAGTGTGAACATTTTGATATTAGGGCTTCATCAAATGATAACATTAATTTGACAATTATTTTAGCAGTAGTTAAATGTCAGAAACGGCATGGTCATTGTGTAGGGGACATTGCTTGTTTGGTCTTAACAAAAGTCCTACACCTAAAATGTTTTTTTGAGTGACCACAGTAAAAAGAAAAAGGGAGAGAAAGGAACCACAGACTTGTTAAGCAAATAACTCCTGACTGACAAGTAACTCATTGTCATTAAGTGTTTACTGTGAAAAAAATAATTATGGAATAGTTCATTAAAAGACAAATAGTTTCAGCTCCATCTTATATACAGTGTTTTGCAGGGACCAGTGTTTGTAATCAGTATGATTGTAGCTTAAGGGAGCCACAGTGAGAGACACATACCAGCCCGGTTAGGGGTGAGTCTCTCGGGCTTGGTCCGGTCCTCCTGCCCCCTCATGGCGTGGAGCTCGGCCAGGTAGTGGCTCTCCATGGCCTTGGAGGCCTGCAGCTCCTTCTCCCTCAGCGCTCTCTCGTTCTGCCTCTCCATTTCCTTCTCTCTTTCTCTCTCCCTCTCCCTGTCTCTCTCACGCTCTCTTTCTCGCTCCCGTTCTCTCTCCCTCTCCAGCTCCTTTTCCCGTTCTCTCTCCCTTTCTCGCTCTCTCTCCCGTTCTTTTTCTCTTTCCGCCTCACGCTCTCTCTCTTTTTCGCGTTCTCGGTCTCGCTCCCGCTCCCTCTCTCTCTGCCGTAGCTCATCCTCCAGCTGATGCCTAAAAATCAAAAAGGGGACAGGAAGTCAGTCACATGATGAAATAAATCACGGCACACTGCGGAGATCTACTGCATGCGTGCACTACTGATTGTACATGTCCTTGGATTGAGACTTTACCTCTCAGACTGCAGTGCCGACAGAGAGGGGTGAGTGAAGTCTCCAGGGTAGCGCACTCCTTGGAGGTGCATGTGAACGGAGGGATGCATGGGAGGGAGAGCTCCCCCTCCTGGCAGCTGATAGAAAGGTGACCTCATAGCAGAGAGACAGAACGGGTCGTCCATCCTGGGATAAAAAGAGGAAGAGAAGTAGTCAGTCCCTTTGTGCGACAGTGCAGCATTCACAATCATTAACCTGTGCGCTTCTCCCAAAGAAGCAACATCACAGGGTCTTCCATCTTTGAAGAAAAGCAGCAGCGTCGTCTGTCAGCTAACCTCAATCACCACACCGCAGCCAGCGAGAGACTTTGCTGTGTGCTGATGCACAACTGTGTGTTTTTGTGTATGTGTGTGACAGCCACTGCTCATCCCCTCATTAAATCCATTACAGCGCAGTGTGTGATGGGTGCTGCAGTGCTCTGATCTGCCTGGTTGACAGACCAGGGGCACGCAGCCTGTGAGATTGCCCAGAGCAAGCAGGGTCCTTCTCAGCACACACAGAGTATACACGATCAAACGTAGGAAACATTTCAAATCAATGTATTTTCAAACAAACATCTCACATACATTTTCTGCTGCTGGTGTTTTCTGTGTATGACCACTGGGTTGTCACTCCGATAAAGAACTCTATAAATCAATAAGCAAAGATCCTGAAACAAAACTAATTTTCTTTTTTCTTTCAGTTGTGAGCAGGAAACGTCTCATCTCAGATGTATAAACAGTTCCAGGAATCATTTATGGTAATCTCCCACAAAGCATGCATGAAAAAGCTCCAGATATATGGGATTAAGTGGCAAAACCAGCAGCGGCTCTCTTATGGCTGTTCATATTTTATTCATACGCATAACCGAGCTCGGGTTAAGACTAGGGAAATGGGTCCTGCTATTCACTGCCTTGGGGTAAGAAGCTTAGAAATAAATAAAACTGCTTCATTAATAAATCAATACTGAGTTTTGTTTGCCTTATACTGCAACACATATTAGATACCCATGAAATCTGTCAAATAGGTAGAATGCCTCTGTAATTTAGCAATCAATATAGCATTATTAAAGCAGCTTCGAAGGTTGTAAATGACAATACTGCAGGCTTTGGCAATAAACAGTGATGTAAATGTATGTTTTAATCAGTCTCTTAAAATCTTTTTGACACAGCTGACCAGGATATCTTCAAACAAAGGCCTCTTGGCAGCAGCTTTTCAGACGATGATATAATAAAAAACTTAAGTACAGTCCTCAGTGCATCCGATATGATTAATACTGCACTTATGTGTTTTTCTTGTTAAAAGTGATTCTCTGCCAACTACTTCCTTCCTGCCCATGATAAAACGGTGAGTTTGGTTGTTGTTTTATGCGTTATTTGTATTTGGTTACCTTGAACGTGAACCTGTTTTTTTATTTGTACTGCCATCTGTGAAAGTCACATCTCTTTTCAACTCCAAATGAAATCTCTTACCCAGTCAAATACACATACACATTAAAACAACAATATTTGTACCTCTGGGAACATTTATTCAAGGTCAGCTTTACACAAATGCATTTACTGCTGAGTATAAGCATTACTAATACTTAGCTCCTTTATATGCACTGGCTTGCACAATTTGCTCTCAGAGGAAATAGGTGCTTAGTCAACAAATGAATGGAGAAGCTTACCTGTATGGCGTGAAAGAGGGGTGGGGCAGGTAGCTGGGGTGGTAGTAGGCAGCTGCGGCGGCGGGGTCCAGACCCATGGGCAAAGAGGGCATGCGGAGGGCATCCTCAGTTGTGGCATAGGGCCGGAAACCACGGAGGTACTCTTCTGGTACATGACCAGGGGGCACTGCGTTAGACATCTGTCTGGCCATACTAAAGTTAGGAGAGGGGGGTGGGGGCACAACACAGAAAAAGTGATGGTTAGTTTGACTTGTTTGTGTCTACTGTTGTACACATATACTCACACTCATCGCACCAACGCCAACAAAACAAATGTTTGTAATTTGTTGCGGCTGCTTATTTTAGTGAGTTTAATATATCCATGAATAATTGATCAAGTACTTATCACAATGCAAAGAGAAACTCCATTTTGAATGGAAACCTTGTAAACTCCTTAAATCTAGAGACACAGGCAGAGCAGTGTGTGACTCACTTGAGGGGCTGGAAACGTGAATCCTGCATGACCGCACCGGGGCTGAGACCAAAGGCATAGGGGTTTCCTAGGAGGTGGGCAGGGACTGAAGGGCCACCCTTTTCCTGTGGGTGGTTCCCCTCAGCACCCAGACGCTCCCTGCTGGCCCCGCGAGGCACCGAGTCAGCCTGGAGAGAGATAAAGAGAGAGTCTCAGTCATTGTTTGAGTAGACCTGTGACCGTCACGCTTGTCAATGCTCATGAAGCCCATCCTGTGAGAGGGGAGACGGGGGAAGAATAGGCCTGTGTGTGATGCAGCAGCCTCCTTCACTCTCTCTTCCTACCTCAGGCACCTTTATTCACTTTCCCACAAAAAAACCCTTCCTATAAAAATAGTCGGATAGACATTTCTCTGTCGGGAATCCATGATAAAAACGGAGAAAGCAGGCAAGGTGATGAAAAAAAACATCTGAGCTGTTTTTCTCTAATTGTAAACACGAGATGTCCTACTTGTGATTGATGATGATTAGGTAATGGTAGACGTACTAAGCAGACTTGGATCTTGGCAAAGTGTGTGGGAGACTGTTAATGTGCGCACATAACTTAAACACTAGCATCTACACACAGACAACAAAGTCCAAAATGCAACATCCCTCTGCCTCTGTTTCTCTTACTCTTTCACCTCCCTCTCTTGCCTTTGGCCGCAAGCCTGGTCTCACTTATCCACACACACACACACACACACACACACACACACACACACACACACACACACACACACACACACCACACACACACACACACACACACACACACACACACACACACACACACACACACACACACACACACACACACACACACACACACACACACACACACACACACACACACCACACACACACACACACACACACACACACACACACACACACACACACACACACACACACACACACACACACACACACACACACACACACACACACACACACACACACACACACACACACACACACACACACACACACACACACACAAAATTTCAGAGCTACAAAGACATCCTGCTGTGGGAGTGGGAGTGCGTTTACTGAAGCTCTGGTTTCCCTCTGCCTACTGATGCAACCGCGTAACAGAAAAACTTGTAAGTTGTGCACGGAAATTGTTCATGGAGGGATATAAAGACATGGAGGATTTTTGTGAATATTCATCTCCCAGAAAACGCAATATCAAGTTGAAGGGAACTACTAGAAAGACTGGAACAAAAGGAAAAAGTAAATATAGAGATAAAGACATTAGGTAGATAAGTGAGATCAAGGCGGTTCTTTCCTAAATAAATTAACCTCTGGGATCCCAAGGATTAGTGAGAGACCTTAGAGTAGGACTGTCCTCTCTCTTATTGTCTCGGATCAAATAAATCCAATTTACGGAGCCATTATCTCCACGTCGTGTTCCGCAGCCACTGACCCCGACTGACACTGATGCACTAACATCCAATCTTAAACGCCCCTTATGTTTAGACTCCCCAAACCCCCCTTTGTTTCTTAGACAGCCCCCACGTTGCAGCAGTTTAATGCTACTGTTTTCTTGTTGTCGTTTGTTGCGCTTCACTTCACTTGTCCCCGTAAATCCCCTGCACCACTTCCATCCTTTCAGAGCTTTATGAGCACAGGGAGAAGGTGGACGCTCCCATCCAATCAGCAGCCAACTCGAAAAGAGGTTCATACATGTCAAAAGAAGTCAATATCAGACTGTGGTAGGAGAGTTGCAGAAGCCAAGCTCCTTCTCTTCCACAAAGTCATTTGTTCTTTATCTGCCTTGAAGGCCAACACTACACAACAGCAGATTGGTGGCTGTCTGGAAATTAAGATTTGTTAACTAATACTTCCTGACTTATTACAGAGTAGATATAGTATGTATGTATTACTTGTCAGTGATATGCCTGTAGAAACAGGATGAGCTGCTTTTTGAGTCAGTAAATAAATTGCTATAATCACAATGATGAAACCTTTGCTAACGAAGTGATCAGTGTTTAGCAAAGCTGTCGTTGCTTGACTAACATCACAGATGCAACATGTTTTTGTATTACTTTATGTTTGTTTGTTTGTTGTATTATGTGTGAGGGGAGAGCCCAATGTACACATTTGCCGTCATTTGTGCAACAATTTAAGCCCTGATTAAGCTGTTGCATCTGAAAAGAACCAAATAAGAGAATAAATGTTATATTCAATCCAAATATCGCTCCATTGTACTTTGATGGCATAAACAACACGAGCAAATTCTTTCCAAATCAAATCATGCCTGTTTAAAATCTAATTATATGTGTTGTTGATATCTTGGGTTTTATGGTGACCAGAAGTTGGTGTGAATCATATGTGGGTTGAACCTGTGTTTAATATCCTGCATCACTCACATTGGCGTGTGACAGGGGCATGGTTCCATAATCATGGTCATGACTCAGTAACTGTCCATTTGTGCAATTGCCAGACACAAATTACTACTCAAATTGAATCAACTGTTCCTTTCTGACTAATTTCACAGGAATCCCATCATAAGAGGATGGAAAAACGATCCCCGTGTAAAACAACAAAGCCTGCTGAAACTTCACAATGGTTGGCTTCTTCTATTATAATGTCTTTGAAAACAAAAAACCTTTAATAAAATCATGTCATGGATAAACCTGTTTGTAAATCAGAGTGGCTGCCATGCTGCTATTCTTTGTGCCTTTGTGAGTCTGTGCATGAGCTTGTGTGTGTGTGGATTCAAGCTAGTGGAAACATATGTAAAAGGTGTGGGTGTTACAGGTCAGCACTTTGAAAAGCACATACACCACAAAGATAGAACCTTCCATCCCCATTAGAGAGGCGCCTTAGTCACTCAGGAACCTACACGTCCAACCAGCCATCCCATTGTGACCTTACACCACCTGCCAAAAAACAGCCTTCTATATAAACACACACTATTCACCAGCATCATGCCATATTCAAAGTACAGAGCACAAACACAAGCACTCAGACTCAAAGACATATCCATTAACAGCCATCTTCCTCTGTGTGAGCCAGGCCCCTGTAACCCCCACTGAGGGTGGGAGACCCTGCGCATTGTAGAGCGCTCGTTTACGCCTCTCAGATGGAGCCATGAATCCAAATTGCCAATTAAAAAGCAATTACAGGCAGCAGCGGGAGCAGACTCCTGCAGTCATTAAAGCAAAATGCCAACGCACCAAGCCCTCCCTCCTTCACTGCCTTGCCCATCAGCCCCCTCCTCTGAAAGACAGACTTGTACATCAGCCAGAGAGACACCAATCAACCCTTCCAACACATAAGGAAGGAGGACACATGCAAATGTGCTACACACAAGCTTTTCTTGGACGCTTAACAGGGAATCAAGTGAACAGAGTCCTGCCTCTCTATCCAATATTTTCTCTGTATTTCTCCAACTTCTATGACTCTTTCCGTTTGTCTTGAAATCTTAATTTCTGCTTTGTGTCCCTTTTTCAACTCGCTGCCATTTCTGTAGCTTTGAAAAACACAGGTTGGTCTGGGCATGGCAATAAGGTATTTTGCCCAAAATAAATAACTTGGCATATGACTTGAAAGATAATATTAGAGGTAAACAGGAACAAAGCGAAAGGTCAAAGGGAAAAAGTAAAAGTACCTGAGAAACTAAGCATCATCTTTGTATGCATCCTTCCTAATCAGTTTTAAGCAACGCTCCAGACAGTATCATATTTGTTAAAGAGGGACATTTTGATGGTGTGTATGTGTGTGTCCTTTACAGCCCCCTGGCTCTTTGTGAATCAAATGTGCTTGCTGAAGCGGCGCCGCAGATAGAGGGGAGATGACGCCAGCTTTTGTGACGCTGCCCCTCCTGACCTCTTCCCCTCATCCCACATCACCTCCCTTAACCTCCTCATTCTTTGGTTCGGTGGCCCCACGCTGCTAGAGGCACCACAAACCCAGGAGCGACCTTTTCCATTTGAGCTTGACCTCTTAGACACACAAACACACAACCACTGTGCAAAACCACCCGATGCATGAACGGAGAGTGCTTATGTCCATTTATTTCTCTCTCTGTGCTTAAAAACTTGCTATGCTCAAGGAATGGCATAAAGGATGAAATCACTGGCTCCCGTGTCTCTCTAGCCCCTTCTAGCTCTGGTTGACCCTTGAACTGTGGAAGGGGTCATTTTCGTAAAAGCTGACGCTACAGGGGATGGGGTCAGAGGGGTTGTCCACTGCAGAAAACAATAGCCTGAATGCTACCACACATTGCTGGCTGGATGACCTCCTCTCTCACCCTTTGCTATCCCCTTCTCTTTTTCTCCAGGGAACTGTCGAAGTGTCTCAGAGGTTTCCGGATGTTGCCGAGTGCTGTTCGTAACTGTGCGCTTGGCCTCGGAAATTAGCCCTGAGCCGAGATAAGAAGGCTTAAAGCGAGGCCATAATCCATAATCCACTCCTTATCAAAGCAAGCAGCTCTCCCTCTCTCTCTCCGGTTCTCTCCCCCCCCGCACTACGTAACACTTCAGGGTGACGAGAAGAAGGATGCACTTGACTGCTCAAGTGAAGAGGGTCAGGCTGGAGGTGAGGACAGGGGGGCTTAGTAGGCTAAAGGCTGGGGTTTGGGGAAGGGCTGGGCCAAGGGCAAGAGGGCTAAGTGGGAGGGGGGCTGGAGGGGCACAGATGTTAGCTGCCGTTGACGCTGTCACCTCAATGTCCCAGTGGCAGCTGGCATTGTTTAACTGATGGAGCAATGGGGGGGGCTGAATGACACCGTGGTGAGGGGGTTCTGAGGGAAGCAGACATTCATAGACCTGCAAGCTATGTCACATGTGCATATGTCAAATATGTACTGCCACTAGGGGTTAGAGGCCATCTACAAAATCCACTATTCCCTACAGAGCTTGTTTGTGTTCATGCTTATGCTGGCAAACAAGCTCAAAAATAAAAACAATCTTTGGTGCTTTAAGGAAACTACAAAGAAAGAAAATACCGCACACATGTAAGACTTCCGAAAGAGTGAGAGAGAACACAAAAAAGGGAAGTAAGAGCAGGCTGAAGGTCAGTGTGGTGGGCGTTTGAATGTAGTCTATTACCTGGCGTCCCTCGCTCCTCCAGAGGCCGTTGCTAGTCTTTGTTGGAGCAATGGTGACTACAGGCGGGGTGTTTGGCACGCTGTGGCCGGCGGGGGGGACCAGGACAGGCCCTTGACCAAGGGGACCCCTCTTGGGTGTACTGACTGGAGAGCTGTGGTTGGTGGCAGGGGAGGACACTGGAGAGGACTCACTGCTGATGGAGGATGCAGCTGGAAAAAGAAAGAGGGAAAAACCATGAGTAAAGTTAACAAGTGGAATCAAGAACAGCTCAAAGTCAGGGTTTTGCTTTAATAATTTTAAATCAAATCAAGTTTTATTTATATAGCACATTTATAAATGATTTTTGGTCGAGCTAAAGTGCTGTACATACAATAAAAATAGCCTACAGTAGAGACACTTTACAGCAAATACAACAGCACAGATTGTTCAGAATATCAGTATGATAAAAACGACACCCTCTGTCCTTTGACCCTCACATCGTACAAGGAAAACCTTCCAGAGAAACCCCACAGTTTAAGGGAAAAAAATGGGAGAAACCTCAGGGAGAGCAACAGAGGAGGGATCCCTCTCCCAGGACGGACAGACGTGCAATAGATGCCGTGTGTAAATCGAAGAGATAATACATTTTACACACACACACACACACACACACACACACACACACACACACACACACACACACACACACACACACACACACACACACACACACACACACACACACACACACACACACACACACACACACACACACACACACACACACACACACACACACACCACACACACACACACACACACACACACACACAACACACACACACACACACACACACACACACACACACACACCACACACACACACACACACACACACACACACACACACACACACACACACACACACAGCTCTGTCGCTATGCCACATTAACAAAGCCCTCCAGGGAAACCCTGTAGCGCAGGGTCACGGTCTGGTCACATGCCTCGCTTTCCACACAGCTCGCTTTCTCTCTCTAGTTCCAAAGCTCTCATATGATATGCTCACTTACGTGTATCTCTACGATTTCATCCATCCAACCATGCATCTTTATCTTCCCCATAAAGTCGACACCTTCTGTTTTTCTCGTCTGTGTCCACTGTCTCTTTGCTACTGTGTTTTTTCACATTACTCTTAAAGTCTTCCTTCATTTTCCTGTGTTTTAACCAGTGTCTCTACTTTTTCTTTTCCCTTCCACACTTAGCCTTGCCCCTTCTCCTGACAGTACAGTGTGCTGTAGGTTTCCTCCGCTCAAAGTGAACGCAGCATTACAGTCAAACTGGGTCACAACCCTCTCAATGGAGCACACACTTCGGCGCTGCTGCAAGGGCAGCGGGAGACGAGCATGTATGTGTGTGCTGCATGTACAGGTAGTGTGCTTGGGTACATAAACAGGCTCACGTGCAGCCACAGGAGCTGAAACCTGGGGCCAGTTTTAAGTCTACTTCCTCTCCAATTATCACCATCACAATAACAACTACAGCTCTCTTACCCAACTGCCACAGTATCCTCAGCATCTTCCCTGCCTTGGTTTCCGGGGCAACATAACCTAACAGACAGCGTAAGCTTACAATAGGTGCTGTCAGGATATTGACAGATTTTAAACACCTCATTCTTACTAATACCACTAAATAATGCAAATAATCAATAATGGCAGTGAGGTGACGGTGTAGAAAACATGGTGGTAACAGGCATAGGGAGGGATGGGGGGGAGTTGGGGGGGTAGAAAGAAGAAAAAGATTTGAAGATAAGGTGGTGATGAAACGTGTGATGTGAGACATTAAAATGAAAAATGATAGGAGTTATTTGAGAAAAAAACAGCAAGTGAGAGTGCAAAAGAGGTGCAAGGTGAGGCAGAGAAGAAGACAAGAGGAAAGCAGAGAGATAAGGGGTGGAGATGGGTGAGTGGGTGGCGGGGACAGGGTGGTGGACATGAGGGGGGGAGGCATATCTTGTCTGCACAATGGCAATTAGTGGCCTAATCCTCCCCCCCTCACCTCGGAGAGCCATTACTCTCCCGTGCAAGACTAGGCCAATCAATAGCAGCCCACTCAGCCTGGGGAATGGAGCTACACTTAATACAGCTCTAGTGTCACAGCCTATTCACTCACCACACACAGACACACACTCTCACAACATGCATGCACAACGATGGGGTGGGAGAAGGCTGGAGGGAGGGAAGAAGCAGAGAGGAGAAGACTGCTAAGCAACAGACCTCTACTAGACTCCATCTATTTCTCTCATCCCCCTCGCCTCCCATCTCCTCCTTTCCCATGTAGAGGCAAAGCAGACAGGAGCAGAGGCAGGGCAGACTAAATAATTAAGAGCAGGAAGAGAAGCAGGTGAGGGGAAAAGGAAATGAAAGAGACAAGGGCCGGCGTCTACCACCGGCTTTATTCTCTTCTCGAGTGTGCAGAATCTGTGTTCACGTCTAGGCGCCCTTCCTCGCCACGTACACAACAAAACAAAAACACAAACAGCTATTACTCCTCTATCATTCCCTCCTTCTCCTCCTCGCTCACAACACCCCACACAACCCACCTACCATTTCTTCATACACACCGATTCCTTTTCCTTCTGTTCTTCAAACACAGTGCCAGCCAACCAGACGCAGACCCGTCAGACACAGCGTGCCATTTTCACAAACACATACACTACAGCCAGTAAAGGCCTCATGGGATATGTCTGAGAGAGTTGCTACATGTGTGCATCTATGCAGGTTTCACTTTATTTTCCGGTTCAACCACATAATCTATCAGCCTCTTTCCTTCATCAAGCCTCCATCCCTCCTCCAAGATTTTCTCTTCTCCATTTTCAACCCCCCTGCTCCAATTTCCATACAGATCCCTTTTTTTCATCCTTCCCTCACATGAAAGTGCCATCTGATAGTAAAAAAATCATATGAGCTATGTGATTGGCACCAAGCTGGTGTAATTTCTGCAATATGCGCCTCCCTTTCCATATAGACAGAGAGAAGATGGCCATAGATGGTGGCCTCTGTAGGGAGCAAGAGGAGGAGTGAAGCAAAGCCTGCGTCCCCAGAGTCTAAAACAGGCTCATCAGCTCCCAACCTGCACTTCATTAGATGTACTGATTGTCACTTTCTTGGTGTGTAGGTGTGTGGTGATGGGGTTTGTGTGTGTGTGGTGATGGGGTTTGTGTGTGTGTGAGGTGATGGGGTTGAGAAGGTGGGGGCGCAGAGAAAGAGAGAAAAGGGACAGAAGGAAAGAGCTAGGAAAAAAGGAGAAAAGAAAGCAAGCGCTGCCTTAGTCCCAAGCTGTGTGATTAATGTGAAGCTCCTTTCTCTGTCGCCTCCTCTATTACCAGTCCCACTCTCCCAGACTGCCTCCACACTTGACCGCTCAAGCTGAGCCACACATGCGCACACACAAAAGATACAACCAACAGCAGCAAAAACAAACAAACCAAGCTGTGGTCAGAGGCTGTGGCCAAGTGTTCCTGCATAGACGGCACCTTTTAGTTCAGCCACTGACCCAATCAAAAAGCCACCGCAGCCCTTCAGCAGCTCTTCAGCAGCTATAGCAGCGACTCCCACAGGATCACTAAGCCTTGATGGAAGACAACGCCACACAGAAATGCTTTCGTGTGGCCAAATGGCCCCTACCATTCTTCTGCCACCCCCACTGCCACCTCTGCCAAAATATCCGAGCATAGCCATCCCTCGCCCTGCCAGGCAGAAGGGACTCTCCTCCACCCCACCAATACACCAAACCCTACACCCCCTCCGCCAAATGCCTCCCGCATGCATTACAACAACATCAGCACTTAATTAAACAGTCCATTTCACACCTGGTGTGCATAGCAGTGCCCAGCCAACCCTGCATCCATATGCCACCCCACCAGCAGCACAAGCCTCAACACGTGCACACACACACACACACACACACACACACACACACACACACACACACACACACACACACACACACACACACACACACACACACACACCACACACACACACACACACACACACACACACACACCACACACACACACACACACACACACACACACACACACACACACACACACACACACACACACACACACACACACACACACACACACACACACACACACACACACACACACAACACACACACACACACACACACACACACACACACACAAACATCCACACACATACAGACACACAATAACCACTGATGCACACAATCACAACACACACCTGCTACTACAGTCTTGGCCATGCACTGACAACGCAACACAAAGCCTGTAATCTGCATCACTGAGTGGGGGGAGGGGAGACACACTGTGTGTGTTGCTGTGCCAGTGAGGGAAAGGAAGACGGTACAAGATGGCGGATGGAAATAAGAGGAGCAATCCTCTGTGCCTTTAGCTGACTGTACAAACTGTACATCAGGCTTAAATGCTGCTTCCAAACAGAGCTATGTGAGGCATGAGGTTGCTGTGTATGGAGGAGAGAAACCGAGTGAAAGAGGAAACACACATGAGCTTGTTTGTGAGTGTTTCAGGGACAGTCACAGCCGGAAGGGTTTTGCCTTCAAGAAACACACACACACCCCCTTACGCACGCATACACACACACCCCCTTACGCACACACACGCACCCAGCACAGCGAGGCCCCAGGCAGGCTCCAGATGGAGAGGTCAGAGACACACTGCCCCGATGTCCCAGCATGCTCTGGGCTCCCAGTAAAAAGGGGAGCCTCCGGCCACACACATGCACACACGTACATGTAACGATACTCACAGTCTGACAAACACCACAGGTTTTCACAAATCCACTAATTATTTTCAGTTCCTCTTTTTTGCAGCCAAGTCAGTCCATCTATCTTGTACACCTTTATTCTCCCTCTGTTCATCCTCTCTCCAGGCAGCGCACTACACTTGGTATGAACACAGTCATGACATTCTCGTGTTGTGTCTAAGAAGAAACAACTGAGAGATTGAACCCATGTCTGCCTAATTAATCAGATATCAGCAGGCCTGCCTTTTGGAGGCGGTGTGTTATCTGTGTTGTGTGTTTGCGCACACATGTGAGTGCCATTGTGTGTTGATGCAAGTGTACATTCTTTACGCTGCTCTGACACTCAGTATCCATCACCTCCCCTCTTCATCACAGCACTCAGAGCTATTCATTATACTCGCCGCAGACAAGTGACAATGTATGTGTGTGTATGCTTAAGGGTGTGTGTATAAACAGCAGCCGTCCTCAGGGTCTTAAATCAGTTCAGCCGCCGGTGGCAGTGATACTAGGACTCAAACTAATTCCTCCAGGCCTGATGACAGTCATAGCACCTCATATATACGGCACTACTCATGTAGAAGCATAAACCAGGGGGTGACAGAGAGAAAAAGAGGTTGAGTCAAAGCAGCTAATGAAAGGACAGCAGGCTGCAGCATGCTATGAAATCATAAGGCTTACACAGTTGCAAAGACAACTGTTTGCATGTGTGGGGGTGTTTGGGTGTGGGTGTGTGTGTGTGTTGCCTATAAATACAGGCTCGTCAGACAGAGAAGTGACATGAGCTCCAGGGGCTGCATGCCTCTGCCCACCCTGTAGCAGGGGCTCCTCACACAGCAGAGTTGCCCCTTATGCCTGACGTCTGACTAACCCACACATCACTGCCTTCACCAGCAGAGTCATCAGGCCTCAAAAACAACAAAGGGGCTTTTTTTGTGCTTTTAATAAAAAGGTGGTAAAGCTTAATCACACGGGATCTTATGTCTATTTGTATGACCAAGTCACAGACAGGAACTCTTTGCCTTCAGTTAAAAAATAGAACTAAAACGCACCATGGTGGAAACTGAAAAACATAGATATGTAAAAAAAAAACATACCTGAGAAAACGCAATCCCTGTGTTTTCCAGCTGCAACTGACACAAAGGGGAATAAGCAACAAAGATAAGATGGACAAATTCCAATAAGAAAAGGATAGTTCATGATAACATGAAAAAGGGATGGAAATGGATTTTTCTATTTGGCAGAGACAGACTGAGAAAGTAATAGGGCTGGCATGAAGAGTTGCAGGAGTGAAGAGAGATGAAGGGGAGACGGATTGAGAGGGAGGTGAGGAGAGGTAGGAGCCGAGTTCTCCCTCTCTCTGGGTAATAAATCATTTCCAGGGTTCTGGGTCCCAGGCTGCAGTGGGCTGGGGAGCAAAGTGTCCAGGGACAGCCAGAAAGGAGGGGACCATCTGATTTAAGAGCCAGAGCAAAGGTGGACAGCTGGGGTAGCAGGGCGTCTCCGGGTCCAGGGCACAGGGCCACACATATATATGCACACACCCTTAATACACTTCCTACTGAGGCTCTCCTGTATAGATTCAACTATGTGGCTTTGTTTTTACGAGTTATTAAAACTCTAGGCACTTGGGTTAATCAATTATATTTGAATGTGCATGTGTATAAGAGGCCAGTTTTGCCTTATATACAGGTAATAAAAGAAGAGACGAGAAAGCAACAAACCAAATTCTGAGTACCTATTTCAGACTTAAGGAGTAATTCAGAATTACTGACAAGTTAATTACCAGCAAGTCAGCCACCTGATGCATACTTCACATAAATACAAACACAGGATAATACTCTGCGAGTTGGGAATTCTTTGGCATGTTGTGTGTGTGTGTGTCGACAAGGACAAATGTATGAAGGTGGATTATAACACACCATCATACACGTATTGACGTTCATGCACTCACACAGAGCACATTAAGTGGGTCAGCGAGAGGGACTCCTCTTTGTCCCACTACCTCCAGGGACGACAACTAATTCAATCCTGTGTGGATATCATCCCATAGCTATTAGCAGTTCTGCACTCAGCTACACAAACCGGACATGGCACAGTGCGCACACACACCTAAATACCCACCCTCTTCCACACAAATAAACAACCACACACGTTCACTGTACATGAGGTACACAACACCTGATCCATACGGTTTGCTAATAAAGGTGCTGGATGTAACAATACATACAAGGGTCATGGTTTGATATTATTACAATTTACAAAATATCTTTCAGTCATTGAGGCTTAAACTTGTTGAGAAAAGATACAACTATACTGCCGACCATAACCTGTGAATTTATTCTAAAACCGGCTGCAATCAATCTTTAAAACAATTCCATCACCAAATGAGTTTGCACAGTAAAAGCCACAACAGAGGTTACCTTCTTTAGTTCAATTAATAATACAGCCAAAATGCTGTTGTCCGATAGACTTAAACTTGACAGGGTCATGGAGGTCAAATCTGTGTCAAAGGCTGTAGGGTTTTACCTCGGGGTTCTTCAGCCTGTTTGGCCAGTTTACGTAGGGCTGCAGCAAATCCAGAGTGTGCAGACTGGGCGGCGGGGCTTCCATTGGCTACGATGGAGCCGTTGAGAGGCGACGGGGTGAGGGGGCTGACCGTCGCCGTGGTACGGGTCGCCGTGGAGATCATTCCTAACGATGGTGACTTTGGCTCATGGCTCATGCCTACAAAAGGGAGGAGATTTGTTAAGTATTTATCAATACTGCATTCACGAAGAACCAGCAAAACACTTCGTTAGAATTATCTCCAATCTTACATATAAATGCATATACTGCAAGAAATATGCAGATACCAAGTGTGGCTCCGAGCAGTTTCCTTGGACACAGAGACAGTGAGGAGAGTGTGGTTTCTGTTTGTGACAGCTGGGGCAGAGGGGCTTTGCTTGTACGGCTTAGGGTCAGAGGGGAGAGGTTAGGGGGGCAAGTCGCCCTTAACCGGGCTCAAAGAGCTTTAGTCTGGCTGTGTGTCTGCAAGAGGTCCATGGTCACAGAGTTTACAAAACAACCCTACTGAGCATGCTCCGACATAGCAGGGTGACTTTAATTATTAGTGGCAGTACATCATAGTAATGTAGATGGATCAGCGTAAACCTATCCCGTTTCCTCCATGTTAAAATGTTTAAAATAACACATTGACTCCCTAACCCAACTGCCACTTAAGAAAAAGTGTCCCATTATTTTGCACTTAATCCAATTAAGGCTGCCAGGGAGGTCATATTAGGAACCTTCTCTTGTTAGGAAGGTAGAGAACATGTGCAACACTAAGAATAAATAGACTGATGTTTTTAAAAACAGCCAGCGGGATATTTCTAAATGTAAACAATGGGATTTGAGTGAGTTTTGGGATTTCTTGAGTTAATGGTTCTGGGACTCAAAAAAGGAAAGTTAATAGTACATTGTAAATCCATGACTCAACAGCGAAATAAAAAAGGGTGATTTTTAAGTGCAATGTTGCTTTCTAGTCTTGGTCAGGAGAATTGAGACGGCTGTCCCTTTCCTTCTCTCAAGTGTGAGTGTGTGTTTATGTGAGTGTGTGAGTGTGTGTTTATGTGAGTGCATTTGTGTTGAAAGGTGACACCGTGTTGACAGCCCCTCGGTCAGTGGAATCCCTAAATGCCAGAGCGGTGTGTGATAGCACTACATCTTGGGCAAAATGCACACACATTAAAAGGTGGCTCAGAGGAGAGTGTAAACTAAGACTAGCATAGTTTGTGTGTGCCAGAGGGAACTCTTACATCAAAAGACACACACCCACACTCGTTCTCACACACACATACCCACAACATCAACATTCAAAGAAAACCTCCAGCTCCCATTACAAGTTCTAGGATTAAGACATACTCACTGTAATAAGAGCTGCTTACTTACAGTATATCAATAGCAAAATTAGATAAGTAGGAGTTATATCTGGGTTTACCCCAGAGGCTGAGAGGGCTATAAAAAGATCCATGTTCCCTACTTTGTGTGTGTGTTGTTTGAGAGGACACACACTGTGGCAAGTCAGGCATGAGAGGGTGAATAACATTCCCAACACCTCTTGAGTTGTCCTGCCTGTAACCTCCCAGTTACCCAGTGCACTCAGAATGAACCCAGCGCACAATTAATAATGGGATCAACAATGACTACTGTCTGAACAACACACACGGCACCATTGAGAGACAAGCAAGCACCGAACACACACACCAACTGCCCAGTCCAGTAACGTGACTTTGTCAAGAACCGAGAGCGCTGCTACTCCCTCCCTCTCTAGACCAGAATAAAGTCAGAGGAGGGAGCCAAAGAAATACAACAGAACTTTTTGCAAAACTAACATACTATTGAGGCAGAGCACACTGTATATAAATACTGTAACAACCACACACAGAGCCACAGTACAAACAGACACACATGCAAGCGAGTAACACCGTGAAAGAAGAGACAGATACACACACAGCTTGATAAATACACACAGGCACATATCCGGAGGTCTGGCAGCAGTTCATGACCCCCCCCCACCCCAATAGATTAAAAGCGTGGCTGAAGCTCCTTACTGCACAAAGGAGTGGAGCCGCCTGGATCCCCCATGGCTGCATCTTCACGTTGAGCCCAGCCCAGCACACACCGGCAGCCACCGACAGGACACACACCATCTTCCTGCTCCGCTCTCCCCTCCTCTCCGTCTATCTGTCTCCTCTCGCCCGTCCACCCTCTCTCCCAGCCTGCCTTCCTGTCTCTCGCACGCTGCCGCTCACAAAGACCGTTTAGAGCTTATCTAACAAAGCAACACACCACACACACTGCCTATCTCTCCTCTCCTTGCTCTCGCTCTCTCTCTCTCTAAGTGAGAAAACAGAAATTCTTAGCCTAGCAGCTGCTGCGATGTCACATGACCTCACCCACCACCCTCCTTCCCTCCCTCCCTTCTCACACTCTCCCTCACTCCTCCCCTCTCAACCTATAATTCCTCAGCCATTTGTAGATAACAGATACAGGCATGCATGCCCTGCCAAGGCGAGGGGGGGAAGGAGAGGAGGAGAAGAAGAGCTGAAGAGGAGGAGGAGGGGAGAGTGCTCAGCCGGTCATCAGATCTGACCCCATGGCTGGGGAGCGACAGGCACTGTCTATGTGTGCACGTATATAGACGGATGGGATCGGGGGGGGGAGGTTAAATATGTGAGGCGCCCTGCCCTTCTTGAGACACATGACACACAAAATGAAAGAGAGAAGAAAGAAAAGGGAAAGAAAAAGGGCATGTTCTGGCTTGTGTCAAGCAAGACAGCATGAGAGAAAGCCTTTTGTGTTACAATGCATGCCCCAATTCAATTAGCTTTATAAGTATAATTGTTCATTAAGTAATGAAATAATTTATCTTTTTAATTAAACGTAACTATTCTAAACAAACAAAGAATACTAAAAGTGTACACACACACACACACACACACACACACACACACACACACACACACACACACACACACACACACACACACACACACACACACACACACACACACACACACACACACACACACACACACACACACACGACACACAGAGTTCTTATCAGGGTGGCGGATACTCATGCTTAATAGCTGGGGGTGGAGGACTCAGGAAAAGGGTAAAAGCGTGGGTTTGACTTCCCCTCTGTCCGTCCTGCTGTCAATGCAGGGGTGTGAATGAGTCGTTTCTTTAGTCATTTCCTCCTTCCGTCACTCGCTTCTTTTCTCAGAACAGCGAGTGAGAGAGAGAGAGCGATGGCAGGGAGAGAGATAATCTTTAGGGTAAAGCTACGGTGGCCAGCATTGTGCCAAAGGCCACCTCTCGACAAAGCTTCCCTCAGGAGTCCCCGGAGGAAACACAGGACTGCCACACTCTGTCCTTCTCTTCCATCCCTTCCCCTTTCCTGTCTAGCATCACAAGGATCAGCATGCCAATATCTCTGTGCTGTTCATGTTGTCTGTTTGAAGAAGCTTGTATGAGCCAACCACAGCATCACATCTTATAATGGGGTTGCAGGTGCTAATTATTGCCATGTCATCCTGAAATTCTCTGCCCTGATTTCCTTTCAACCCAAAGGCAATAATGCCACACAAAAAAAAGAAGAGAAGAGCAGCTTCACAAGAAATCGACAAAACCCTATGCTGACAGCTAAAAGCTGATACCTTAGCCATAGCATGGTACAACACTCACTACTTCAAGGCGCTGAAGATAAAAAACATGCACAAAAGGATTAAGTGAAAATCAATGATAGTATTAAGGTTATGTGGGTGTGCATAGTCTAACAAGAGAGAGCTGTCTCTACCCTCTGTTTCCACTTTAATTTCTATAACACAAGCCACGCAAGTCGAGCCTGTCTTTTCAGAGTAAGTAATGATCATTTGCATGATCTAAGCAACCCAGGATGAGTAATGTCTTATGAATTTCCAGATAAGTGAGCCTGCCTCCACCTCTTAACATCACTCAGTTACAACACACTTGCTCAGTATTTTAGGCAGTCTCAGAACTCTCCATTCTTCAAACATCCAGCAGATGGCATTGTCTCCCAGTTAATCAGAGAGTCCTGGAGATGAAACAACATACTGCATGTCAGTCCTTTAATCCAGTGATACACAAAAGGAAAATGGATTTTAAATGATAACACTGGATAAGGAGAGTACAAAGGGCACATTCACTTATAATGTTGAGCACCTTAATGCAAAGGTCTTAAGGTGTGATTTCATTAGATCTCTTGGCACTGTTGCAAAAATAAAAAAAATGTTTAGCCTAAAACCTAAGGGTGAAAAGGCGCCTGTGACACACCAAGCTTCCTGATGCAATTAACCCTTTGAATGCTGTTACGCCCTAAGGGAAAATAAAACAAAGTTCTGAAAGAAAAGGAATGTAGATTCCAACAAATCATCACACACAAACATGATCCCGCCCAAACACACACACACAGCAGATTGATGCTAAATGGCATACAGTAAACACAGTTTTAACACCCCGCTGGGAGCAAAGCCGATCACTAACTCCCATAGTCAAACAAACACAGTTCCACCCTTTTGCTGGTGGGAATGCACACACACACACACACACACACACACACACACACACACACACACACACACACACACACACACACACACACACACACACACACACACACACACACACACACACACACACACACACACACACACACACACACACACACACACACACACACACCACACACACACACACACACACACACACACACACCCACACACACACACACACACACACACACACACACACACACACACACACACACACACACACACACACACACACACACACACACACACACACACACACACACACACACACACTAAATCCTCTTGGCTCCTGTATGCCCCGGCCAGCGGGGAGATAATGCAGTGGCAGCGAAGGGATTTGCCTATCAGCTCGTTAAAACTAGCAGGGCTGTGCTGCAGACCCATCTATCTGATCCATTCACCAACCTGGCCAACACATCATGGTCTGAAAGTGTACTGCCTACACTGTGTATCTACGCTTAACTTCACTGGGGCAGCAGATGCCCTTTTACCGGTGGCTGCCTTTGAACAAAGCCAAACCGGTCAGTGTCTGCCCTCAAATGAGCAATACATATGTCAACGTAATAAACTGGTTAGCTCATGTTTGTGGTCAGGCAGGCAACTGAAGCA